CATCATGTTAAAACGAGGCCTGAATATGCAGAAGATTTTATGTTAGAGTGTAAGGCTTTAGTTTTAGGCCTAAACTGGTCCGAAAGTAGGCCATATTCTAAACGTTGGCTTACTTTTATGGAGACCGCTGGTCTCTTTTGGTCTGATCTGGTCTAAATGTGGAGTGGGCCAGATTAAATGTTTACACCGTAGTTTCCACAGGTTGCACTTGGCCTTGGGCCCTTGTGTGTTTTTGGTGTGTGCCTTGACTGGTCTAAATATGGGCCAGACTTAAACAGGCTGGTAAAACATGTTATGGTTGGGTAAAACTGAAATGACTTATTGTAAATTAATCCTTCAACAGTTTCATATGGAGGTAAAAAGGTGTGAAAACTGACTTGAGCTTTGGGTTGTGTGTATGTTTTATATTTGGTTTGGTCTGAACTGGTCTAAACGTGGGCCAGATTTGGACTGGTTTATAGAGTGTGATGGTTCTGGTCTTAACCCTGACACTAAACTCAAAGTCTAGTAGTCGTGTCCTAATCCAACTCTTCCACAAGTTTGCACAGGGTCTGTTTATTTTAACCACTTTGAAATATGTTGACATTTCTGTTTAAACACTGTATTAACTTTACAGGGTTAAAGGATAAATCTCATTAATATTGCCATTGTGTATGTTGTAAAATTGTTTCGGGCTTGTCTTGTGAAATGACAGTTTAGTTAGTTAGTCTGTCATTATCAAAATGCCTCCTGCTGCTAGAATAAAAAGTACATCTGTAAACTCTTCTGTAAATCTTATAATGTTGAATAAAATGTGTAATGTGTGTAGAATTTAGAAAAAACAAAAACAAAAAAACACGTTTCTCAAACAAAATTATGAAATGAGGGGAAATCTGACGGCTGTGCTATACTTCTGAATTTTTGACTTTTACAGAAGAAAACCTAAGAACCAAGTACCCCGCGTCGGCCAGAGCAGTGGCGCCATCTGCTGGAGAAGGAATACAAGAACCAGACCTCAGTGTCTGAGTCAGGGCTCGTTGTCTGCAGATGAGCCAAAAGCGAAAAGACATGAGACGGAGAAAGAAGCGGAACTTTCACCTGAAGCACCGGAGTGGAGCTACAAGACACAGGTACAAATACACAGGTACAAATACTCGGCACAAACACGACCATTTATGGATCTATGGATTTTATTACAGAGCCATGCCTCCATAACTTTTATCAGATTATTAGACTCACGCAGCTGTACTCGGGTTAGTCTCGATTATATCATATTTAGTTTAAAAATGAACGTGTATCTGCACAGACATATTTTTATCATGTTAAATGTGCTCATATCACTTTATTTGAGTCATGTGTTTGGCATTTGAGTGCGCTGGGACGGAGCAACTTAATGGAGGTCTATGGGAGAGCCTGAAGTTTGCAGAACATTTGACGTCATTACGTTGCTTCTGCCTATTCAGCCTCACATCTTACTATGTGTCGTTTTATGTATTTTACTGTGTTTGTGTGTGTGTGTGTGTGTGTGTGTGTGTGTGTGTGTGTGTGTGTGTGTGTGTGTGTGTGTGAGTGTGTGTGTGTGTGTGTGTGTGTGTTTGGGTTGTCTGGTTGTGTGGGGATTGGGTTGGTGGGTGGATGGAAATGTGGGATTGTTTTTAATCACTGTAAAGCACTTTGTGTTACAGTTTTGTATGAAAAGCGCTTTATAAATAAAGTTTGATTTGATTTGATATTACATTACAACAGAAAAATACGTCTTGGGGGAATAGGGTGGGGGTGACCTGAAATCTAGTGATTGGTCTTTATAAAGATTAAGCAGTAAATTAAAGTGCAATTTCTTCATGCCACATCTTAGACTGGAGTGAGTGCTTGTTTTCCACAACAAGATAAGGCCTACCTATTACAACTAAATAATAATAATATAGAACTGGGCAATATCACAATGTGAAATGGAATTGTACACAGCTGGGACCAAGTCATTGTTTTGCAAGTCTCAAGTGGCTCAAGTCTTTCTCTTGAAGTCCGACTAAAGTCCAAGTTCTGTGCTTTGAGCGTCAGGTCATTTCAAGTCTTTAAACCAAAGTACCAAATACAGCTGGTATTTTTGCAATTGATATGATTTTTTTTTAAAAACATAAATTGTGCGTAAAATGTCAAGTATGTTTATATGCAATATTGTGGAGAGGCTTGAAGAGTTGTAGAAATGCTACTTTTTCCTTTGACAAGACCTTAGTGCGAATCATGACAGTCATAATAGAAATATAATAATTAAGATTTAAAAGGGATAATTAAGATTTAAAAGTGCTTAATAACAATAAATTAGTCAGATAATTTGCACTGAAACTGAAGGATTGTGTTTTGTGTACTTCCCTCTGTTATTTAGGTGTTACTGCAACAAAACACTGCATTAAGGCAACAGAACTTGCAATCTGATTTATTGTGACAGCCCTCAATATTACTTGATATTACATTCGATGATGCAGTATCACTACTCCAGTTATTGTTACATCCACAGTAACAAATAAAGTGGGAGGGACAAGCTTTTTTTTTTTAGGAGAATCAAAGTCTTTGCAAGTCACAGGCCTCAAATCTTAATTTGTTTAATCAAGTCACGTCTCAAGTCCTGAAATGGTGACTCAAGTCTGACTCGAGTCCATGTTACGACCTGTCTGGAATCGTGATCTTAGTCATGGTTTCGCTTTTAATTTATTACAATTTAAACCAAAACATTAGATCTTCTGAATGGAATTTAGTCCTCATAGAAAGTAAGAAAACTCCAAAATGCAGGGGCAATTAAACAAAATAACAGCGTTGTTATTAATATTGTCTAATAACTATTGTGTATAATTTGGTTCATGTGAACATTATGACTGTTTGCCTGTGTCCTACCAGGAAGTCAAATGATAAAATCCGTTAAGTATGAATTAAACCTTTCATACACACTTCACTTTTGATCTATTCTAGTTTGTGGTTTATCTCTTGAAAGTGGCTAGTGAACAGAGATAGAACATGAGCAAAGGCTAAAATTGACAGAGGATTATTGAAATGAGGAAGAACAGAAGCAACAACATTTTGAAAAGTAAAATGTTAAGTAACTCATGGTCTGTGACTGTGGGAGAGGAGACAGTTACTTAATGTAAGAGCAAGACTAAACCAGCTGTATAGAGATGACAATAGTTTAAGTACAATGTGATTGAAAAGGAAAAAAAAAAAAAAAAAGTAATTACTCTTACCTGACTGATTAAATTAATTTCAAGTTAAAGGTGCGATAACTGTTCTGGTCTAGGGTCCACCACCTGCTTGTCTGCATGGAAATGTTATTGCTGGGTTTGAGATTAAATCACAACTTTGATTGAATACAGATGGGGGCAGCTAAAATGAATAGTTTTAAATGCTGTTTTTATTGTAATACAGTGAGTCCTCTTGTCTATTCAATAATAGAAATGATCAGGATCAACATTTGTGACATTTCCTTTCAGATATGTGTGTTTTTGATCAACATTTTTTTCAGTCCTTTTTTCCCCACATAAGCCAGAGTATATATGTGCATAGTTTATTTTTTCCACATAAAATTTATATCAAAGTAAGTACATGAAAAGAAAAAGAAATACTACTACTACAAATACTACTACTACTACTACTGCTGCTACTGCTGCTGCTACTACTACTACTACTAATACTACTAATACCAAGACTAACACTACTACAACTACTAATACTACAACTACTACTACTACTACTAAGACTAACACTACTACAACAACTACTACTACTATTAATATTACTACTAATACTACTAATACTAAGCCTAACACTACTACAACTACTAATACTACTACTACAACTACTAATACTACTACTACAACTACTAATACTACTAATATTACTACAACTACTAATACTACTAATACTAAGACTAACACTACTACAACTACTACTACTACTACTACTACTACTAATACTACTACTACAACTACTAATACTACTACTACAACTACTAATACTACTACTACAACTACTAATACTACTAATATTACTACAACTACTAATACTACTAATATTACTACTACTCCTCCTACTACTCCTCCTGCTACTGCTACTACTACTACTACTACTACTACTACTACTAATACTACTAATACCAAGACTAACACTACTACAACTACTAATACTACAACTACTACTACTACTAAGACTAACACTACTACAACAACAACTACTACTACTACTATTAATATTACTACTAATACTACTAATACTAAGCCTAACACTACTACAACTACTACTACAACTACTAATACTACTACTACAACTACTAATACTACTACTACAACTACTAATACTACTAATATTACTACAACTACTAATACTACTAATACTAAGACTAACACTACTACAACTACTACTACAACTACTAATACTACTACTACAACTACTAATACTACTAATATTACTACTACTCCTCCTACTACTCCTCCTGCTACTGCTACTACTACTACTACTACTACTACTACTACTGCTGCTGCTGCTGCTACTGCTGCTACTGCTGCTACTACTGCTACTGCTACTACTAATACTACTAATACCAAGACTAACACTACTACAACTACTAATACTAATAATACCAAGACTAACACTACTACAACGACTAATACTACAACTACTACTACTACTAAGACTAACACTACTACTACAACTACTAATACTACTAATAATTACTACAACTACTAATACTACTAATACTAAGCCTAACACTACTACAACTACTACTACAACTACTAATACTACTACTACAACTACTAATACTACTACTACAACTACTAATACTATAACTACTAATACTACTAATATTACTACTACTCCTCCTGCTACTGCTACTACTACTAATACTACTAATACTAAGACTAACACTACTACTACAACTACTACTACTACTACTACTACTACTACTACTACAGAAATTAAGAATTTTAATTAAATGAAGAAAGAAAGAAAAACCTTACCTGCCATTCAAATATTTAATGGCAAAGTACAACGTTATTAAAAGGGAAATCTGTGTCTTGCCCTGATCTGGAGTACGGCATATTCTATCTGAAAAACAGTTACTTTGTCTGTATGATACTAAAACCTTAATACCTTGAAAAACATGCAATCTTACAGTGAGCAGGGTCGCCTCTCCACTGATCTGACCTGTAACTTAGACAGACTGATGGATAAGTTTATGCTATAGTGTACATTTCATTTCAAGCAAAGCAGTAACATCTCCATAGTGGACTCTCAACTGAAAAAGTGTCCTGCGTAACACACCTCTAAACTTTAACCTACACCTTAAAAGTGTTTTTACATGGAAATCATTAATACTTAAATATTATATGTTGTAATGTGTTTAATATAGAAATTGCGTGAGTGCATTCTCTAACTGTCAAGGTTTTTTTTTAACAGGAAACATGGTTGAGTGACAAGAAACATTTTGCATTTTGTGTTAACTGTGAAGAGGAAGTTTAACATTTAGTGAGTTTGTCTTCTGGTTGGTGTGTCTGGTAAGGTAAGATTTAATGAAAAAAAAAATCAATAACAATAATTCAGAAAATACTTCATAATATAAAGATGACTACTGTTTTTTTTTTTTTTTTTTTTTTAATTCTAGCAGAAAAGCATGGCACTAGTGGCCAGGTGTACGAATGTGTTAACTCAAATGTTACTACTTTTACTGCTTTGTTCAGGTAAGCTAATTATTGATGTTATATATTCAAACACTTTAAAATCATATTAAAGTGTCATATTAAAGTCAATATTTGCTTCTAGTTGTCCTGCCTGCTTGCGAAGAGAACTCAAAATTGAAAGTCACGATGCCGAAGTTACTTAAAGCCCTGAGTGGATCATGTTTACAAATCCCCTGCACCTTTACACCTTTGCCTCACGTTAATTTATCTGTGTTTGGTGTTTGGATGAAAAATGATCATCAATTTGGCCCGAATCCAGGAAATGTGATCTTTAACAGCAGTCTGCAGAACAGTCCGTATCCAATGGAAATGAACATTAATGACCTGAAAAACAAGAACTGTACGACTTTGTTCAATAATTTAACCTCAGAATATTCAAACAGATATTACTTCAGGATTGAAAACAGACCTTTTCTAGCTACAGATATTTGTGACCCTCTTAACATAACAGTCACAGGTAAGAAATGTATTTATATATTTTAATTATTGTGTGTGTTTCATGGTTAAGTAAATATTGTTATCAGACTACTCTTGAATCTAGGTGCTTTTAAGTGTCTATTATTGCAAGAATAGAAAGGTTGTTGTGTGTAGTTGTGTTAAGGTGGATCCATATGTTACAGTAAACATCATTTAAAGACACAGTGATGCATCTTTACATTTATTTCTCCTTGTTTATAATAATTCTGCAGACTCTCCCTGGAGCCCCACAGTAAAAGTCTCTGGTAAACAGACAGAGACAGAGGTGGTGACTATAACCTGCTCAGCTGTCACTCCCTGTCCACACGCCCCTCCTCAGCTCACATGGGACCTCCACCAAGACACTGCCCACATCACAGAGACCAACACAGACGGGACATTTACCACTAAAATCACACAGAACATCACTCTGACAGACGCCCATGATGGACTAATGATAAAGTGTAATGCATCGTATCCTGTGAGTGGAGGATTCAAAATGGCCGACAGTAACATCACTCTCAATGTCTCATGTGAGTGAAATGTGATGCACCCACTGATTGACATTTATTAAAGGTGCACTGTCTAACCTTTTGGGTGGAGGATCTGCCACCTGCTTGTTTCCATGGATGTTATGCCTGAATTGTTCCACAGTTGGACAGTTAAACTTACCTGTATTTCCTCAGATGGTCCTAAAAACACCTCTGTTGAGGTCAGTGCGTCCGGTTCACTGTCAGCAGGTCAGTCAGTGACACTGAGCTGCTCCAGCAGAGCCAAGCCTCCTGTCCACCTCTTCACCTGGTTCAGACACAGCTCACAGGGACCAGTCAATGTCAGCCAGGGACACACGTACAGCTTCAACTTCACTGAAGAGGGACAGTACTATTGTGTGGCCTCAAACACATTTGGAAACGAATCATCTCCAGACATTACACTGAGTATAACAGGTATGGTCACACAGCTGAAAAAAAAAAAGGTTCTTTACAAAAAGTTCATTCATGACCATTTTAACCATACATTTGCATGTAATATTACTTGAGATGATAAGAAAGTAAAATCAGTCTTACAGTCAATACATGTTTTGGGCAGAAACAAACACCCTTTCTGCTATTCCGTGGGAGGCCATTCTTGGAGCAGGTATTGGACTCATAATAGTCTTCTGCCTGGCTGTGTTTTTTATGTGAGTATTGTGAATTTGGTTTTAATCTTGGACTTTACAGTGCCATAAATCAATAACTTCAGTTAATATCCATGCAATAGAAATACAACCCTGTAAATAAAAAAAATATATATATGTGTCATATAGCTTCATTCTTTTTCTATCTCACAACAGTAAGTAGTATGTATACTTGCATGTACCAATTTACAATTTTCTTCCTATTGCATTTTGTTTCATTATTCAGACTGAACTGCCAGAAAAGTAACAGCTTTTTAGTCTTATTGTCTCTACATTACTTTATACAAAACTTTAGATAATATATAATGTAGTATTATTATTTTTTCTAAGGTCTGTCAGATCAAAACGCAAGGCTGCAGAAGAATCACAAGTGAGTATTAAAATGTGATTAGAAAACATAAGGATCAAATGACTGTTTAGTGTCTTGTTTTACAGACAATAACACTTGTGAAGACTGATAAAGCAGAGGAAGAGGAAGATATGCATTATGGGGAAATAGACTTTTCTAATTTGAGCCCTAAAGGCATCTTAAACATAGAACAAGAGGAAACCGTGTACTCTCAGGTACGAGTGTCAAAAGCTGAAAATGCCACCACACAAGCCCCTGATGTGGATGAACTTTATGCAAATGTTAACAAGAACTGATAATGTGCTCCTGTCTTTAAAGTGGGGATGGGTAATATATCGATTCCAATATTTGTATCAGTTTGATTTTGAAGATTTAGCCGATATTTTGCACCGATATATTTCTAACGTCTCTGCGTCTCATATTCAGTTTGTTCTCCTCCGATTTGTTTTTTTGAACAGACTAATGATAAAAATGGAAATACACCATCATGTCACAGTTGTTTACAAATTATTATGTGACCCCAAATTTTAAAAAGTATTATCATTTTTACAAAAGTTAATTTGTGAACCATCTCTTGCTTAAATTAACTTAACACACACAAAAAAAATCCATATTGTACCACACCTACTTTAAAGGTCCTGTATTATGCAAACTTAACTCTTGTGAGCTTTTATCAATGTTATAATGTTGTTACCTGGAGTTGTGTTTTGTTTTATTCATACATTCATTGCTCAAAATGCCCTGTTCCATGAAGTGGTAGTTTTCGAGTTTATATCGACCTTTTACCTTTATTTCAGTAGACATTGACAATTCCAAGGCTGAAATTATCCAAATGAGCTTAATGAATGTATATGGAGTTTAAAAACACAGTGGAGCACTTCCTGTATTACCACATGGCATAACAAGTTGGACCAGAGTGTTTTCTGTTTGAGGGAAGAACTGTGCATATGCAGTAAATTAACCTTAACAGGAGAGAAGCATTGTGTCAGGTTGTAGCATTAGAGCTCATTTCCACCTGTCGTCCCTGGTGCATGTTTTTTAAGGTATGCAGGTATTAAACATGTGTGAATGAAAATAACATCATACAGGTCATTTAAAGGTGTGGCATTTTCATGTTTTGTATTGCCCTGTATTGTTTGTTGAGCTTTTGCAACTTGCATTTTGGACATATTAGCAACATAATACATGTGTAATGAGCTTTGCATTGATTTTCATTTTATGTATTTGAATATTTTATGAGAATAATAAAATGTTGTAATCATAGACTGTACCTAGGCTGGTCTTGAGACAAAAAACTGTATTTTTAGAGTAAGAGAAGTACAGTACACTATTGTGCATTTGGACTCAAGCATTTTTGTTTTGAACTGAAATTCACCATGGACCCTGTCATGTCAGCGGATTATATTCTTACTGTGTATTCAAAACCTGCAGAACAACTTAAAAACATAATAACTAAACATTAGCACATACTACAAACTGAAGCTTCATTGGGTGTGGCTTTTAAAGAGCACCCCTTGTGGTGTACAAAAGAGGAAGAAACCTTGAAGACAGACCTTCCTCCAAATGACACCACACTGTAACAGCCTCAAGCATCCTCACAGTGAAAAAGAAACACTCATCAGAGAAATTATATCCTGCAGTACTAAATCATTTCTATGATCACCTGCCCCTTTGGTAAAGCCTATGTGGGTAAAACCAGCAGGGCTTTATAACACGTATTGCTCCTCTGCAATGGTACGAGTACCATCAGATGTAAAAACATGAACTATTCTGTGACAGCTCATTTTGTAGAGTTTAACCATTATGTGTCTTTCTTATGATATATTGGCATTGAACATGTAAAACTGCCCCCTAGAGAAAGGAATCTGGAAATGCTCCTGTCAAAAAGAGCACTTCTGGATACACCAAATTAAGCTTCTTGCGCCTCATGGACTTAATGTAGATTTTGACTATAGATTTTGACCTAAGATGCTTTTTGTGATATGGTCAAGTTATTCTTGTCTTCAATAGAATGTTTTAATGTAAATATCTAACTGTTATTTCTTGTTGTGGAGTGGGCTGATCTCACTGGGTGACCTCACTTTGGGACCTCCTATTGCTTGGTGGTGATATAAGCATCTGGACTGGAGGCCATTTTGTATACTGTGGTCCAAAGCAAGATTTTATTATTATTTTTTTGCTGAAATGTTATTTAAAAAAAAAAAAAAAAAGAAAAGTTTTTTATATTTCTGTTCCTTGTACTTGCACCTCTACAAGAACTTTGGTGTGTGTTTTCTGTCAGTGGAGGGGCTCCTCCAGCTTCCAGCAACAACTTTGCAGTAAAGTATTACACTTAAGTACAAGTTTTACATATATGTACTTTACTTAAGTAGATTTTAAAGTGATACATCTTACTTTTACTTATATCTGTACTTTCTACTTCACTACATTTTTGAAATGCAACAACAACAACCCTGCTGAAAAGGCAGAGGAGTTTATTCTTAACATGTTCATAGTTTGAGCAAAAAAAATGTACAAAGAAAAA